GAATTCCCCAGCAAGCATGGCTGGCTGGGGAATTCTGGGAGTTGAAGTCCGCACCTCTTAAAGTGGCCAAGGTTGAGCAACATGGGATAAAGTCTCAGCTTTGTCCCTGGGGATTGTTGGTAAACTCCTCTTTTTCTCTGTTTTAACACGAGCTGCTTAAGTGTGGGACCTCAACAAGCCAACCCCAGTCGAGGTCCCCATTTGGGGTGTTGCAATGTGTTTTCTAGGGGGCTGTCCTTGGAGACGGGGCCAACGTTTCAGTAAGAAGCTAAGCCAACCCTCCCACCCACCCACCCCCGGTCAGTCCAGCAAGCAAGGACACTCTTCAAGCAGAGGCTTGTTCAATGGTCATCGGTCAGAGAGCCTGTAGGATCCTCCCCTAAGCAGGGAGTTGGATCAATGACCTCTAACCTCCCTTCCAACCTCTATCATAGGAAGCTCATAAATACCCTTCAAAATTGCTCAGAGTTGCTAGGAGTTGGGCGGCATAGAAATTTAATCCATTATTATTATTATTATTATTATTATTATTATTATTATTATTAAAACTAATAACTGTCGATAGTCCATCTCCTCCACGAAGTTCTTCTGCCTCTAAACTGGTGATGCGGATAATTCAACCTGAGAAACACATCTGCATTTTTTTTAATCCTTTCACCCCCCATTTCAGTGTTTCCACTGCTGTCATTTGATATTGCCATTCCTTCAACGAGAATGATTTCCTTTTAATGGAACCCTTCGCATTCTTATTCCACGCTTTGCACAGCCCTGCTGACCCAGAAGGAAAGTGAATACAGTATATGTATTTATACACTACCTTCCTTCAGATGTCTTGGACATAAGGAGCAGCCTATAAATGGACAATATAATAATAAATTTCAACAACAAAAAAAAATCAGTTGGAAAAAGGATCCTGTTGTTAAAATGGCCAATATCACAATCCCTTTAGGGGCTTTTAGGGTGCGGCTTAGCAAGGAGTGTGCAGGAGCTGAAAAGGTATGGTTGAGAGAGAAAAACTGCACCTGTTCATTTGCAAACACAAATGAACCAGCCGATTACAGAATCTCTATTAAAAAAAAAATCCCTGGATGAGAGTTAAAATGATGCAGGTTTGTTCCCTTTACACTCTGGAACAAATCAGTTTTAAGATTAAAAAAAAAAAAATCAAGTGATTCCCCTTGTGCAATTCCAAAGACAAGATTGCCCTCTGCTGGTCACCAGTCAGTAATTCTGGACTCACTTTTCAGAAACATTTTCATACCTTCTCCTTTGCAGGAATAAATGTCCTGTGTTCAGATGCTTCGCTTAGAAGCACAGAGGTGGGACTGATCAACCTAAAGCCGTGCACGGTGATACGACTTTTATTATAAGGTTATAGTAACAGAATCTTGCAAATCTGATTGTGCTTCCCTCCCCCCTCCCTTTATCTTTGTGAGAACTAGGGAGGGTCAAGTCTGAGACGTCTCCTCAATTTACAGTTCTGGGCTGGACTCAGGTTTCTCTTATCTGGCTGTTATCTTGGTTGAGGCGCTTCCTCCTGTTGCTCAAGGTTATTCCTTCTTCCCGTTACAAATACCTTGGAACAGAAACTCTGTACTAGATGTGATCTATCAACAGTTTGTCTGGGAACTGGGCCAGTATAATGCTAGTTCATAAAGTAATTTAAAATCCGGGGAATTAGGGCTACAGTGAGTGGGACTTTCATCTCACCTGATTGCAATCGTACACACAGCCTTTCTTCAGCTGCAGGAGAGCCAGCCTGGCCCAAACAGGGGACTTCTCAGAGCTCTTTGAAAGAGCCACCCAGAGGCTCTCGTGGGCTTCTTCAAGGCGATCCATTTGGTACAAAGCGTCGGCGCACAGCAACCGAGACACCCTATCCGAACTGTCCAGTTCCAAGAGCAGAGAAGCCAGCTGGTGGATCCCAAAGTCATCCCTGAGTAAAGCAAGGAGGAGAAGGTCACTGCGAAGGGAGGCGGGAAGCGGAAACATCAGGACAGCATGTGGGCAGATTCAGAGGTTTTGATGTGAGGCTTATATGTGCTTGGAATAAGGCTGTGTTAAAAACTTTGCCATGTGGGAGG